ATCGAAAAGGGTAAAAATACTAAATAAATTCCTCCTGAAACCTTGACTGAGTTGATTTGAGACCGAGAAATAACAAACTACACTTTTATTAAATTTTCTTTGTAAGTGGCGTGGCTATTCGTGCTCTCATCCCTACTTTCTAAGGTTACCACCCAGGACCAGCGGCGGACAGTGTTAGACATCCGACAAATGCTGAGCGGACTGCCTTTTTAGTGACGCAAATGTTTAGACCTAAATTATTGTATTTATGTATAAGGTTCATGTATTAATTTGTGTTACTGAATAAATCATTCTCTTTCTTTCTTTCAAATATCCGATATTTTCAATCAGGATGTCAATTTCTAAACCTTAACAGTTAGCCTAATGTCACTAAGTTATTAAAACATATATCTTCAATCATTCACTCATTTTTACATTTAAAAACTAAAACAAATTAAAGTGAAACCTAAGTAATATATATATAATGTGTATAAGTTATTTTTTTTCTACTTATATTTACTTTAGATTTAAACATCAAGCAGTTACATGCTTAAAAAGTAAATATTGTAACTATAATTGCTATTTCTACTTTCAAATGTTTAATACTTGTAAAAATATTCTTTTGACATTGTGCTTTACCTACAATGCGAAGAGATGGGGCTGCCTTGCAGCTTAAGAATGGTTAGAGTAATTTCGACGCGGCCATCAGGGCCGCGGTAGCATAATTGGTCAGTGCATTCGCCCGGATAGCGAAGGGTGCGGGTTCGAGTCCCGTCTGCTGCCTGGTCCGCGTACTATTTTCTAGTTTTATATTTTTTTTAGATTTAAACATCAAGCAGTTACATGCTTAAAAAGTAAAAATTATAAACGAAACCTAAGTTTTGAGAGTCAGTATACTTTTTCAAATTTCATTTTGCTTTAACTTATATTCACTGAACTGAATTAGACCTACCTATCAAAGAAACACTCTCAATTATATTGAAAGAATAAGAAAAACCATGAGCTTACCTAGAGTTATCATAATGCCTCATAGCACATTGTATTGAATGTTATTTTCGTCTCCAATAAAGGAAACCTTGGTGTGTCGTGTTTCACGAGAATTCAATTTGCTACCACAACAAATACGGATAAAGTCGAGATGTGAATATTTCATCCGACTGCTGAGTTTCTGTGTATCGATACAATACGATACGAAATATATCTTATATTTTATTGTTGCACAAAAATAAAACAACTGCTATTGTTCAACTGATTTATATTTTATAGCCGAGTTTAAATGCGTTTTCGTGAATTATGGTTCCGATTCAAAATATAAACGACATAAGTAGCTTCAAGCGTCACATTTTTGCCGATATCTTTTGCCGTTACTCAGAGATGTCAATTAAATGTAATGTTTGCCTTAACTCAGGGACGTCAATGAAACGTAATATATAAATATGCCCGTCTTATTTCTCTGTCTTATTCTTTAAAAGTGACAGCGTTAATTTTAAACTTAGGAATTAATCTACCAATCTTTATGCGACCAATCCTTCGCGACCAATCTTTATGCGTTAGAGCCTTGATGCTCTATTAGCCATATTGTAGAAAAAAATATATAATACCTATGCATTATTCTAAATATTATATTATATTTTATGTAAATTTAACTAGCAACTCGTTTTAGCTTCGGAATTCAAAAATACCATTTCAATATCCAAGTTTTCAGGTTGTTACTTGCTGGCTTTTGATACACTCCCTGTGCTCGTGTTTTCACTATGTGGTACTTATTCGTAATAACGTACTATCCGCACGTGTATCATAAATAACTATTTCAGCCAAATTGGTTGGAACATTCTCAAATGTTGGTACGACATACATCTGACATTTAATTTTGAAATTTGTACCTTTAATGTAAAATGCAGCCGGATTAATAGACACACATCTCAAACTACTTAATGGATTACGCTGTTCCCTCCGATTCCGTCGGCCTAGGGACGTCTTAGAGTACCCCGACGATGAAATCAACCTTAGGATCTCGCCGTCCCCAAACCCGGTATCGCTATAAAGGTCATCTGCGACCAACAGCATACACAATAAAAAAAAGGATTGCGCTGAAATTTATCACGCTATCTAGTTATTATGATATAGGTTTCAGTAAGGAAAGGATTTTACAAAATCTCGCCAAATATTTGCCAATAAAACAGAAAAACAGGGTCCGAAGTTTGTACGGAGAACTTCGATATATGGGCTATTTGACAGTATGAAAAATAAAGTTCTAATGGTTGACATCAGTATTTAATATTGTATATTAACACCGATTTTACTATTCTGCGAGAACAAATAATTTATATTTTTTCTAGAAATTCATTGAAAAGAAATGATTATTTGGGTGACCAAAGAATCACCTTCGCCAATCCCGGGCGTTTTCAGTCATGTCAATGACTGAAAACGCCCGGGATTGGCGAAGGTTAATGGTGACATCACACGCTAGTAAATTTCGGGGCAAAGTGACATTACATTGTAACCCCTGACATTTTAATGTGACGCGTGATATTACATACCAGTGAGACCCCATAATGTTCAGAGAATAGTTTTCGCGGCAACTTGAAAGAAACATTTTTTTTATTAATTTCTTTTACTGAAATATACAACAGAATGATGAATATCCACTTTTTATGGACTCCATAAACATAAGTAAATACCGTGGGATAGTTTTCAAAAACTTGTCCAGTACCCTATTGTTAAAACCCGACACAGGTACTGAATAGGTGTTAAAAATAAACCTTTTGCCTGGGTTTCTAAAGCTAGTTTTCGTAGATATAAAGTACAGTAAATGAATTTTTATAATTTTCTATGATTGGACGAACTGAATATCCTAATTAGGTAATTAGAATTTACTTGTTTATCTCAAATGCAAAATATGATTGTTCCTTTGTTACCGATCTCATGCCTGTAACAACTGGACGGATTAAGATAAGCGCGAACCTAAACTCACAGACAGAATATTAATTTATACCGGCAAAAGGGATTTCATTTGTCAAAGGCAGAGTAAATCATTGTTATTGTAGTCTGAAATTTGTGCAGAATTATCATAGTTTTTGACCATAGAGCAACATGATCGCGGATGCGTTATACATCAAACCATCATCATCAGATTAAAGTAAGATAATTAATAGGCACGAGGAGCTCAATGGCGCAAGTGGTTAGCGAGTTCGGCTACGATCGTTGAGTTACGCAAGTTTCGCAGTGGTCGTTCAGGAACGCACTAACAATCTGTGTCATCGAGCTCCTCAAGACATCAATCGTCATATTCAGTTAGTGAGTCGTCTTCTTAGTCCTTCCCAAAACAATAACGAATCGAATGATAATCTCCGTGGCGTGAATGGTCCCGGCTTCGAATTCCGTTTAATAGATGTTTGTGTGATGAATCCGTGATGTGTGTACCTTAGTCAGGACCGTTTATAATTTTTTTTACAAAATTATGCTTGAAAATGTAACCTGTGTACACTTAGCACGAACCAATATCGAATTCGAATAGTTTGCGAGTGCGAAATGTCATTGTCAAATGTGTACTGATTTTTTCATTTATCGATAGACTAGAGGTGCTCGGCAGTTTCACTCGTATTAATTTGAGGAAAAAGGTTATTGTGGATCACCCCAAAAAGATAAATGTCGTGTCGCAGACTTTTTAAAGTACTTTTAAAGGGGAACAATTCCGTCATAATACATATTTTTTGTGTAATTTTTACCGTTTATAATAGTAGCGAACACAACGGAAACTCTCAAATGGATTATTTTTCCCCATTTTTAAAACATTTTTCATTACAGTTATCAGTCGTAGCACTATGTAATAAAGCCTTCCTCGAACACCATCTAACACAAAAATATTTTTTCTGATCGGACGAGCAGTTCCTGAGAATAACGCGTTCAACTAAACAATAAAACAAACTCCTTAGTTTTATTACATAAAAAATAGATTTATTTATTAAATTTTACATAGCATTTTCATTAGAAAAGAATTAGATGTGAATAATTCCTTGTCACAGATATTGCAATTAGGTTCACCGCTCGAGCGACTCCCATAATTCAATCACTGTGCTGTTACTATAAATCATATTCAACTATCATGAAACTATGCAGATTGATTACTTTGATCATTTCGAATAGACGAAAAATATATGATTATACAGTTGGGAAAATATTTATACTTATCTATTAAAATATAACAATTCAATTAGTAATGGTACAGTTTATGGGGTTTTTATATATACACAAATTTAAGGCAACTGTGGTGAAACTGCAAACTTATGACCAAAGACTTTATTTGTTATTTTTTATGATTTCATCCTTATTGATTTAATACTGATGATGTTGATTCGTTAATACATTACTTGTTTACAAACCACATATATTACAAGAACAAAAAAAAATACAGTCCTTTTATAAAACTAAAACTGTCCACCATTTTCTAGACACAACAATAAAAGGTAAAGTTTGAACTTTTTATTGTTCGATACATAAATTGCTAGAAGCTATTACTTGTCTTTGTTAAAATAATAAAACTATCTCAAGACAAAGTTAATGGGTAATGTAATTAGTAAAATATATTGTACCCAAGTTCATTACTTGCTATCGTACAAAATGGTAAAAAGAAATCATTTAGAAAACTAGGTGACAAATTTAATGGCTTCATGCTTATTTTGATCTTTATTAAATCAAGTGGAACCCCACGATGTATGTTTTTCAAATATGTACCTATATTTTAGTATAAAAATGGTTTTGAGATATAACTGTCAAATTGTTAACGTTCACAATTTTTGTACTTACAAAAAATATATTCTTAAAAACGGTTGTGTCTCTAATTATGTTTGAATCTAATTCAGTATCAAGTTGACATTTCTTAACTTTTAAAAAGATCACAAATATCATTAAAGTATCAAGTTAATCCACTCGCGGTTCTCAATTACGAGGCTATAAGTAGCTGAAGGCTCGCATCCCTGCTACAGCAGCGTCCTGAATCACGAGTGGCTCACCTACCGACCATGGATATCCCATCTATCGGTAAGCAATAAATTAACAGCCTTATCTCTTAGCCAACAAGCTACAAAATATCGAGAAAGAAAAACTGAAAGAATGTCTACTTGTGAGGTTGATGACATTGCGTCGGCTAAATATAAAAGATACACGCAGTACCCAACCTATACATAATTATAGCGATTTTCTATACCATACCATAGGGGATTGCTTTTCATTTCAGAAGAGTTTAGGGCACTATATGGCAGATCTTTACGCAAATAGTCTTTAGAGACAGCAAAATGATTTTTGGCAATGTTAATTCACTTACACACTTTTACAAGAAGTAATAGTATTCCTATTCGCGTATTGGCTTTTTAGTTCTCCTATCAAAAATTCAAGGTGTCAACCGCATGACAATGTTTATTTTAATAATTTGATATATTCTAATCAGATTTGCATTATACAAAAGTATAAGTTTTGTGCACTGTTTCTTTGTATAAAGTATTAAATATTATGAGAAATTTCACACTCCTTCGTACCGTGAGCGAAATATGCATTTTATTTCTTAAATTACTATAATTGTTTAGCAAATACTCTAATTTGAACGCATTCTTCAACTAAGTATCACAGACTGGTACTTTTTCATGGAGGTCCTATTATACATGTAATCATGAAAATATTTCTCAATTGAAATGTACGTCATTCTAGTGGGTGCTATTATTCTCCTGTTTGCTGTTAGTTCAGAATCAACATCAATAGAAGCTCTATTGGACCCTCCAATGGAATCAAAGGTAACTTATATTATATATTAGGTAACATCATTTTCCGATCCAATTGAGACGTTTGTCTGGGATTGTGTCCTCCACCACCTTAAATTTTAATTAGACGATATTGAAATAAGGTTTTCAGACCTCTACAAGGTTTGAGTTTAGGTCGACAAAGTTGCTGGAGTGGCATTTCCTGTCGTATCAGTTATTTTTGCTACTACTACTGTAACGGTGTGGCATGGCTGCCACCTTATTTATTTCCTCCACATTCCTCGTTTTTGGATATCACTAATTTTAAAATGTTCATGCTTTTTATGCAAATTGAATTTGAATTCCTTGAAGTCTCTCAAAAGTATTTTTATAGCTGGTCCAGCAGCAATCAGTATAAATTTTTCGAAGTTTAACATTTAGCCGGAAATTCTATAGGGTTTCTTATTTCTACCATTTATATTAATTTTCTTAATTGTTGTTGATTTAGTATTTATCGAACCTACTCTACCGCTGACAACTGTCAGACTACGCTTACACTTGAAACGGGGTGGAGTAATTTGCTGTGTTGGGAAAAAAAATAATAAAAGTTCACATTACTTTGCAGTTCATTCTTTCAGGAAGCCTTTTTCCTGGATATGTAGTAGTACCAACATTCAACTAAATCAAAATGCAGTTACATTTTAACGACGACTCCGGATTATCCAATTATATAAGATTTGTAACATTATGTGGCGTACTCAAACATATAAAAGCTTAGTCTTCATAGCTAACAAAAGAGTTTCATACTTTACATTTAAAATAAAATTACATAAATTGATTGTCACCTGATTGCTGCATCATCAGACAACCAGAGATACGGTAAAGGTTTGAAATAGATGAAAAATCTAAATCAAGGTCGCAAATCACAATATTTTAAACCTACCAAATATAAATTCAAGAATCACTGTCAGAGAATTTCTGAAGTCTAAAGCCTGATTTCCAAACTTGTAAAGTCTAGTCAATTTAAAATAAAGAAATATTTGAGTTTTGTTAGATATAGAATAATAAGTAAAACTTTACTTCTACAGATAACACAAAAACGAGCAGTAACCCGAAGGAATGAATTAGTGGAGTTCATAGAAGAAAAGCTGGTTCAACAAAGCCAAGCTTTGGAGTATATAATTAATATTATTAAGAAAAATGAGGGAATCATGGAAAAATTGGTAGAGAATCTAAGCAAGACGATGCAGCAGCCCAAAATGCCGGAGAAGATTGAGGTACATAACCAAACTAGACGTAATAATGATGCTATTGATGATGAACCAATTAGTCCTTTCCGTAGGCTTGCAGAAACTTTGCCTAGATACGGCACGCTTTTGAAAGATGTTATAAAACAAAATATGCGAAGGAGCAAAGACCCTATTCCTCTGATAGAAGATGACTTACCAGAGCATAGAATTAAGGCTCGGCAGGTCATTTATCTTTAATTAAGAAATAAGAAGAAAAAGTATTAAATAATATTTTTTATGTATATTATTCTTAATGTGAACGCGTATCATTCTTGTGTTCTGATTGCTTGAATCTTTTTCTATTTTTTTTAACGCGCGTAGCTTTTATTAGGTAAATAGAAATGGTACACTTTTTTGTTTTTTGCCTAACTCGGAAATATCGGGTAAACTTAAGAGTATCAAGAAGTTTTCTTATTAACGAGGCGAGGCTTTCAGTTGCGGAAAAGTATTGAAAAGTTAAAATGAGCAAGTTGCGGTTGTCGTATTAGAAACAATACAAAGTGTTAAATAAGATTTTTGAGATATTAAAACAATTAACAAAACAAATGTAGTTTTATTTCATGAGTCCTTATTTTTCAGTCAACCAGACGTTCCTTTAACGACACAAACATCGTTGAAGAAGATACCGACAAGAAATTGAATAGATGGTGTAGTATTGGTCTCCTTTGTGTTGGGTCTAATGAATCCGTCTGTGGATACGACGAGAACTACGGCTACGGAAAGTTTGATGACATTTGCCATATGGTGCGGGTGAACTGCTACTGGAAGTATGGTAAGAGTCTTGTGATGACATTTGCCATATGGTGCGGGTGAACTGCTACTGGAAGTATGGTGAGATTCTAGTGATGATATTTGCCATATGGTGCGGGTGAACTGCAACTGGAAGTATGGTAAAAGTCTAGTGATGATATTTGCCATACGGTGCGGGTGAACTGCTACTGGAAGTATGGTAAGAGTTTAGTGATGACATTTGCCATATGATGCGGGTGAACTGCTACTGGAAGTATGGTAAGAGTCTAGTGATGATATTTGCCATATGGTGCGGGTGAACTGCTACTGGAAGTATGTGTAAGAGTCTAGTAATAACATTTACCATATGGTGCGGGTGAACTGCTACTATAACTATGGTAAGAGTCTAGTGATGACATTTGCCATACGGTGCGGGTGAACTGTAACTGGAAGTATGGTAAGAGTCTAGTGATGACATTTGCCATATGGTGCGGGTGAACTGCTACTGGAAGTATGATAAGAGTCTAGTGATGATATTTGCTATATGGTGCGAGTGAACTGCTATTAAAAGTATGGTAAGAGTCTAGTGATGACATTTGCCATATGGTGCGGGTGAACTGCAACTGGAAGTATGGTAAGAGTCTAGTGATGATATTTGCCATATGGTGCGAGTGAACTGCTATTAGAAGTATGTGTAAGAGTCTAGTAATAACATTTACCATATGGTGCGGGTGAACTGCTACTATAACTATGGTAAGAGTCTAGTGATGACATTTGCCATATGGTGCGGGTGAACTGCTACTGGAAGTATGGTAAGAGTCTAGTGATGATATTTGCCATATGGTGCGAGTGAACTGCTATTAGAAGTATGTGTAAGAGTCTAGTAATAACATTTACCATATGGTGCGGGTGAACTGCTACTATAACTATGGTAAGAGTCTAGTGATGACATTTGCCATATGGTGCGGGTGAACTGTAACTGGAAGTATGGTAAGAGTCTAGTGATGACATTTGCCATATGGTGCGGGTGAACTGCTACTGGAAGTATGATAAGAGTCTAGTGATGATATTTGCTATATGGTGCGAGTGAACTGCTATTAAAAGTATGGTAAGAGTCTAGTGATGACATTTGCCATATGGTGCGGGTGAACTGCTACTGGAAGTATGGTAAGAGTCTAGTGATGACATTTGCCATATGGTGCGGGTGAACTGCTATTAGAAGTATGGTAAGAGTCTAGTGATGACATTTGCCATATGATGCGTTTGTGTTGCTACTGGAAGTATGGTAAGAGTCTGATGTGAAACTAGAGGTCTAAGTTGATGCAGTTATAGTGGTTTTGATTGTTTTGTTTTTGAGTAATAGATTAGACTTTACCACCAAAACAGAACTACTACATAAGGTACTACATAATTATACTAGAAAAAAATCCACGCGGGCCTGGCAGCAGACGGGACTCGAACCCACACCCTTCGCTATCCGCGCGTATGCACTGACCATTATGCTACCGCGGCTCTGAAGCTAATATAACTATATTTGCTATTTCTTCTTTCAAATGTTTTATAGTTGTAAAGGTATTCATTTGACATTCTGGGTTACCTACAATGCGAAGAGTTGGCGCTGTCTTGCAGCTTAGGAAACATTAGAAAGAATTCAACACGGCCATCAGGGCCGCGGTAGCATAATGGTCAGTGCATTCGGATAGCGAAGGGTACGGGTTCGAGTCCCGTCCGCTGCCTGGCCCGTGTGGCAGTTTTTTTTGTATAATTTTTCTTCAGATTTAAATCTTTAGTAATATGTTTCTATTTTTAAATGCTTAAAAATAGAAACATATTACTAAAGATTTTTAAAACTCTATTGGAATAATTTTCTCTAGACTTTACATACGATATGTATTAGGAACAGAACTTAGTCCTAGTGATTTAAATTAAATTAGGTAATACTTATCAGTTGTTCTATAAAAATAGCAAGTCAATTTATTCTGGTGTTAAAGGCTTATCTTTTACCAGTAGTCGATTATGGGTAACATCTGTAAGATAAAATTAAAACGTTTGTTACAGATTTTTCTATGGTGCCTTCGTGCGAACCAACGGTATAATAATTTATTTATTTATTTATTTTTGAGAAACCAACAGCGATACAAATAGATTTTACATAATTGAACTTAGTAATAAGAATGGCCAATAACAGGTTTCTACGAATTAAATTAGGTACAAAAACTGTCGTTGTGCAGGCTAAACTAAAGTTACATGTAGGTATGCATTTAATAATGCCAGGTCGCATGAGAACGTTGCAAGGCGGCTATTAGTGTTGATACTTTAATAAATAATTAGATAATTAGAATATTCTTCAAAACTGAAGGAAGAGTTAGAGATATTAGACATTATAATAAAACAAAAATATATTCTAGAAGATAATTATTAATGATTACATTAGCAGTCGTTTTAAAATGTATTACGATTTGTTTTTGTTTAGAATAAAACAATTTATCTGTAGTTCCTATTTTAAGTGTTTTCCTTTGGATTAGATATAAAACATTAAATTTAAAAAACATATATAGTTGAATCAAGATCTTGTAGCACTTTTATGGCATTGATAGAGGGACGCGGCTTGAAATAAGGATAAAATAGGTACGTAAAATTGTCAATGGTAAAAAGGTTGTCTTGAAAAGATCGCTCTCAGCGATAAGGCCGCCCATTGTTACACTAGTTTTAATTGGTTATGTAATAAATGTAATCTGTGGTGTACACAACTATATTAAATACCCTAGATACACCACGTGCGCTCAAAATGTGTCCCTATCAAGAAGTGCTTGAACACGACTCAAGCACTTCTTCGTTCACAGTCACACACAGACCGTTGAAAAGTCAACATGCCGCTAAGCTCCGTGAAAAAATGCAAATGAATACTTACAGTATGTAAAATGTCGTTTTTTCGACAGATATCTCATCAATGTTTGTTAATTTACAGATTTGAAGCAAATATTGTTTTAATACTTACTATAAACTGGTTTAATAGAAAATATTTGTGATATTCAAAAGCATGGTCGGTAATATAGCCATCTCTTTTTCTCACGGTCCGTACCTGTTGTATTGCTAATAGCGCATTCAGAATTGCGCGTAGAGACAAAGAAATAAAGTCTATATTCTTCCGCATATAGCAATAAGTCGTAAAATTTTAAGAGCTTACATCTCGGACTGTCATAACTCTTTGACGCATGCACTTTGATAAAGACCTTATACAGTGTGCTTTAAAGGTGATTTTCAATGTTTAAATAATGACTTATATTGTTTAGACTATGCGATGATCTTATGGAGCTCCGTGGATCGTCCAATGTACCTTTTATACAGGTTTCGGGCATGATTTTGTTCGTGTTGGTATATCTAGGGTATTAAATATCATTGGGTGTACAATAAAGTTTTTTGTATTGTATTGTATTATAAAATTTCTTTACATATGGAACGTTGTTATTTGCAATAACTCGGAAATAGTGCTAGGAAATCTAATAGGCTTATTAATACTTTTATTTTTAAATAAAAGGAGTTATTTTTACCCTTACAAAATTTAGTCCGATTTCGACCAAAGCGTGATAAGATCTTGATAGGACTGTAGTAATAAATATAGTTCTTTGATTTTGCTACCTCCTTGTGTTACTTTTACTGTTGATTTATTTATCCATAATTTATCCTAATCCTGCACCCAGGTCTCTTGGGTTAGGACAAACATCTTCCTCTTCCTTGACGTGTCTGTATACTGTGAAAATGTTAATTATTTTATTATAAATGTGTTACCTTAAATGTTATGCTGAATAAACTCTATTCTAACTGACTGAATAAACTCATCAGAAGGCAGAGGATTGGATTCTGATTCAAAGGATTTATTCTGATAAAGGCCTGATTTTTAAATTCTCGGAATACTTATTTCTGTCACTCAAATCTTTACTCAATCATAAGGAATGCTACCCGCAATATCAAACTGACTGACGTTAATCACAAATTTTTTTTAATGTATCGAGAGAGACTTATAAGTTTTATATAGTAATTAAAAACTTTGAGGGAATAGCTAAAAATACGTTTTGGAATACGAAAAGTTAGAAGAATTTGTGAATCTTCATAATCAGATAATAAACGTAGAAGTAAAATTATTGGTACGATTTGTCAATTTACTATTTTATCTAATGAAAAGTTTTTGATTTTTTTTTGATTATGCTACCGCGGCCCTGTCTGCCGTGTCGAACTTTCTCTAGCCTTAGGCTGCAAGGCAGCGCCATCTTTTCACATTGTAAGTAATCCACAATGTCAAATGAAATACCTTTACAAGTATTGAACATTTGAAAGAAGAAATAGTATTATAGTTATGTTTTTATTTTTTTGGTCTGAGTCCCGTCTGCTGCCTGGTCTGCGTGGAACTTTTTCTAGTAAACTTTTCATTAGAATTAAACATCTAGCAGAAAATGCTTAAAAAATTAAAAACATTTCTATTTTATAGTTATATTTTTTTAGTTTTGTGGGTTACCTACAATGCGAAGAAATGGCACTGCCTTGCAGCTTAAGAATGGCTAGAAGAATTTCGACGCGGCCGTCAGGGCCGCGGTAGCATAATTGGTCAGTGCATTCGCCCGAATAGCGAAGGGTGCGGGTTCGAGTCCCGTCTGGTGCCTGGTCCGCGTGGATTTTTTTCTAGTTATATTTTCTTTAGATTTAAATTACTATTTTATGTTAAAAGGGTGGCAAAAAAGCATATGGCCCGCCTGAGGTAAGCGGCCACCATAGCCTATAGCATAGAGACTTCATCATCATCATCAGCCTATGTCCCCACTGCTGGGGCACAGGCCTTCCCTATGAATGAAATAGGGAGATTGGGCCATGACCCACCACGCGGGCCCAGTGCGGATTGGCGGGTGCTAACGACTGCAGATACAGCCGGGACTAACAGCTTAACGTGCCTTCCGAAGCACGGAGGAACTCGAGATAGAAGATTTTTGGCCACGCATCCAATGACCGACCACTGCGAAAGTTGCTTAACTTCAACGATCGCAGCCGAACGCGCTAACCACCCGCGCCATCGAGCTCCTCGATAGACACTTGCGATAGAAAAAATATCACTCGCGCTGTTGCCTACCCTGGCCCAAATCCTTACCCGTTGGAGCCCTAGACCCTTACTCACCAACAGAAATACAACACCACCAATAGTTAGTTCTATTTTACTGAACGTTACTTCCCTAGACGGGTGCTCCTATTCGAGCGGAAAATCCGCTATGCCCTACCTCACTTAAACTTATTTGAGCAAGAACTTCTCTTCATCAGCTTTTGTTATGGCAAATAAAAGTAGTTAGACACATAAATTTTTAGTTTACCGAAAGCATTGCTAAAACCAAGCTTTTAAATCATTTTATACCTGTAGTAATTAATTTTGCAATTATGTTTCCGCTGACTGTTGAAGTTTTGTAGGTAGGACGACGAAGCATTGTGAAATTTACACCGAAACAAACTGAAATACCAGCTGATTTCATGAAACTTCTCGTGAAACTGAGTAACTTTTAATGATGAAACATATAAAAGCCCACTTGCACCAAAGTTCTTGAATGAGATTAAAATTAATGTCACGTTTAACCTGCCTGCTTCCATCCATTTTGAATTCAACTAATTGACAAGGAAGAAGTGTGATAATATGCTAAACTGGATTAAGCTTAATTTGTTTTAAAGCTGCCTATACATGTTGGCCAAGCGTACGCCAATACCAACGTATAGACAGCATATTTGTCTTGCTTTTGTCATCTCTGGGTGTCGCTTGTATGATTTGCCGAGTAATGAGAAGCGCCAACGTGTATAAAACTTATTTGGCGTCGTTTATTGGCACACGCTGTCGCTCGCCAACAGTTGTCTCACGTCGTCCATAATATAACTCATAGCTCCACAATACTCGTCTATATTGGTCACTTGCATTGGTCTTCCTCAAACTTGCCCAACGTCTGGACAGTAGCACTTGCCTTGTATTAGTTTGCCTACGTTCGCGTTGGGTTAAGCTCGGCAAATATGTATTGGCTTAAGAGCACCTAAGTAGTTGCAAGTGGCTCTTATAATGTGAATTGATAACTTACCAATTTGACACTTATGTAAGTGTAGGAAAGGTGTGAAAGAGATGTAAGAAGGTAGAAAAAGCAAGTCAAGTGCGAGTCGGACTCCAATAAGAAGGATTCTGTACTATACCACGAAAATTATTTTTTTTTAAGAGAAGATGGGCACCGATTTGAGTAGAAAATCCTTTCTTCTCAAATTGGAGCACTCGTCTGGGGCATTAACTTCCACCTTACAGAAAACCACAATGAAATGAAAATGCCTTTTGGTGGCGTATTTGGTGAGTAAGGTTCTGGGGCACCATGATGTTCTCCACTTTTTTTGCTCGCTCTGGAAAATCTCTGTATTTCTTTTTATGTCAAACTAGTGGTGGGGATGTTTAGCAGCCTTTTAACTTTAATTAATGTTTGTTACCATACCCTTGATAGGCAGAGAACCACAAGAACTCTGGTAGAGTCTATATACGCTACCAAAGTCTGACTCACAGGGTAGGCAACCCTGACCCATGGCCCTTCTCCGCGGACTTCTGGAACTTACTCACGATACTACACTACACCACTAAAATGTAGTGTTATTTCACAGTGCGTTCTAACTCTGTCTTAAAAACCACTCACCCATATTGTGTTCGCAAGAATATTCGTATAAGTCGCACAAGTCGATAAATGTCCTCGCCTCGTTGACTGATTTACCACAAATCATTACAGTATCATGGAAGCATGTGTAAGCGTGCTCACATATTTTCTTCAGCTCTGTCTGTAAAAAAATAATACTTGGAGCTACATTTTTAAAAACAAGAAAAGACGAAAGCTTTCGAAGTAGGTATAAAAAAACGTATGGAAAAGGAATGCAGATAGATTCATTATTTTCATGTAAATTACTACTTAGTAATTTTACCTTTCTGTATTCCTGCTTTTTATAAACATTAATAATAGAAAACAACTCACACACAAATTCAAAAACTTTCATGAATTGTGTTTAAAAGGAATATGAAAGTTTTTCTTTCATAATAAGTATATGATTA